GTTAGTAGTTCTTTTTTTGCCTTCATTCCAAACTTGAAACTGTGAGGAGATAATTCTTTGTTTTAGCTTCAGTAAAAACTGTTAACAGAATTGAGGCTGTATCTACTACCTCATTGCTATATATTTTCAGAAATAATTACTGGTTCTTTTTCACAATTAAATTAATTATCCTAATGGAGTACTTATTTGTTTAAGCTTAAAGTTCACTCCATTTTAGTGTTTATTCTCTTGAATGACCTATCAAGGGAAATGAAAAAAAAAAGATTTTTATTTTGTATTGTGGTTTGAGATAAGAGGGTGTTTTCTTTTTTAAATAAGGCGCCCAAGATAGAAGAATTTTTCCAATGTGTATATCTTTCTCAGTGTTTTTTTTTCAGTTATGGTTACATAGAGTATATTTTATTTTATTTTAATGTTCAAGTGGTACTACAGTGTATTCCATGCTCTTTTTTTTATTGTTTTTTATTTTTTCCTTATAAAGTAAACATTTTTTTTTACCCTGTTGCTTTGTGATTAGAGTGGTGTTTTTCTTTAAAGATGGTCGCTAATACTTTGGTTTTATTGACTAACCAGGGGTCATTATCATTTATACCTGTCACTCTACTGCTAGGCTAGTTTCTAGGGAGAGACTTACAAAGAAGCTTAAAAATGACCACTGAATTTAGAAAGTGATTTTCTTTTATTGATATAAACATTTAAAAACCTACTAAAGCATTTCAGTATACCTGTCTTACATTTTTATCATCCATCTTTTGGTAACTTAATCTCATTTTTATTTTATAGTTTTATATTTTAAACACTTGCCAAAAATAGCTCCTTTCTATAGGATGCCCCAAGTGTGCTTTTTTGTTTAATATTTTGTATGTATAATGGATGACTTACTTATAAAATGGGTTTATGGGTAGCACCCTCTCATTTTTTTCTCTCCTAAATTCAAGGCATAATCTATTCAACATTACTATAATTTGGATGTTGTCATCCATAAAATCTTGAAAGGACTTTATAATTTTGGTATAAAAACAAGTGAAAAATTAAAACCTCAGTGCAGTGTGGTGTTCTGGAACAGAAAAATGACATGAATGGAAAGCTAGAGAAATTGGAATGAATTCTGTGTTAGATTAATAGTAATGTACAATGTTAATTTTTTTAGTTTGATGAGTTCTCTGGGTGTGTAATTTTTTAAAATTTTTAGTTTCGATAAAGTCTACAGTATGTAAGACTTTTCTGCATTAGTGGAAGTTGGATAGAAGATATGTAGGAACTCTCTTTATATTTAGTTGAAAATTGATTTACCAAAAGCTTTAAATCTGCGGCCGTATGACTAAATAGCGGTGAGCCAGGTGCCAGGGTACAAAGAGTCCCGAGGCTTCTGTCTTCTCCCCAGAAGGTCACAATCTTGTTGGCAAGTCAAGGTTGTCTTCTCCATAAACAGATGAGTAACAGTACCTTTATGAGGCAGCCTGTGCCAGTGAGTGATACAGGGAGTCCTATGAGATAGTAGACACATGGCGTGTTTGGAGAGGCCTTTGCAGAACCGGTGAAACATGAGCTGAGCAGGATAGCTGAGTACAACTTCGATAAGTAATGAAGAGGTGGTTCTAAGAGACAGGAGCGGCCATGGATTGAGGAAAAAAGTATTGGCAGCGATGATGCAGTGTGGGTTCGTTGCAGTCCAAATGAGCCAGTGGAGATTTGCGCTCATCAAAGTATGGAGTGCGGAGGGTCTGACTGATAAGGTGGGGCTGAGAATCGACAGGGCCCCAGGGTGATGGATATAGAAACACAAAAGGAAAACAGATGGGTGGTGACTGGCAACCTGAGGCAGCGAAAGTTACTTAGGGGAGATGGGTTTTGTTAAACATTTTCAGTAATGCTGGACTGCCAAGTAGAATTGTATGGGAAGGAGTTAGACCAGGGCTACTGGAGCATAGGAATGCAGCAGAAGGCTTAGGACTGTAGTGAACAGAAGGAAAAGTCTGGAAGGAAGTTTAACAGCATTCAGAGAGGTACAGAGAGAGGCTGTGGTGATCACTTTCGGGTTCCCAAAGCAGGTAGGGGAGAGTCTCGTAAGGAGGGTATGTCAGAGGGAAAAGTGACTATGAAACCTTGAAAAATTGCTGTCTCAGTGGTCATCAGTTTTTCAGATTGATGGGCCTGAAATCCAGATTATGGGGAATTAAGCAGTAAGGAGTGTGTGTGTATACAGGAGGGGGTTGTTGACCTTAGTTTTTGAAGATGTTTGGCTCTGCACAGACAAGGATATATACTTACAGACCTAGCTGAAGAAAGTAAAGGAAGGTTATTTAAATTTAATAAATATTTATTCAGTGCCAGTTATGTGGAAGATACTGTGTTAGGGGCACTGGAGAACACAAAAAGTGATTAAAATATAGCGTTTTTTTCCCCTCCTGAAAAAGTGCTACTTAAAGTTCCTTTAGTGTTAGACAAGTGTTAAAATGCTAGAGATGACGCTTGCAAGCAGAACAAAATCAGTGACAGAACCAGCAGCAGAGAGCTGGAGAATCGCTGGAGCTGCGAAGGGAGAGGGAAGAGATGGCAGGTGCAGGTGAGTAGTCTAAGCCTTGGAAGGCGAAGGGATCCTCTGCTAAGATAGGCACAGCGGCCCGAACCCTAACCCTAATTGAGGAGAAGACCAGTGGGAGAGCTCTTAGGAGACAGGGCAGAGCACAGGTGAGCCTTCACTGTGACTGGCCTGTGCTGCAGACTAGGGCTGGATTTTTTTGCCTTTGGAAAGTTCTGGTTGAATGGGAAAATGAAGCTGTTACTGCTTATTTTTGGTCCTTTGAGACAAAAACAGAAGTGAAACACTTGGGCCACTGAGGCATTGATGTTAGCTTAGGATTTGTTTGTTTGTTTTTAATGTCTTATAATGAAATAAACATTTTTAATTGCTCAGATAGTATGTGAATGTCAGTGTCTGCAGTTAGCTAGGCTGTGTGTCAGATGCAGGTTCTCACAAAGCGTAGAGCTTAGGAAAGGTGGTCAGAGGACGTAAAGTGAAAGTGTTAATCACTCAGTCATGTCCGACTCTTTGTGAGCCCGTGGACTATAGCCCATCAGGCTCTTTTGTCCATGGGATTCTCCAGGCAACATGCATGCTTTTAATAAATGCTTGCTGATTGGATTCTTGATCTGAGATAGAAAGTGGCTACATGCCCATCCTGTGCACACAAGGAAGTATTAGAAGATATAGAGGAAAAAGTGAATTGGAGCAATTTTCTGGCTATTTCAGTAGAAAAAGGTTTTGAAATAAATTTGCCATATGTTTACCTAAAGGCCTTCTTTCTTTGTAGACCTGTTTTCCATACGTTTAGAAAATATTTTGTGCTCATATTTTTTGGTCACAACTAAGTAACGGTACATAAAAAATTATGAACGTGATTTTGTCCACTCAAAGACAGACATTATTTTGAACTACCCAGTTAGGTAGCACATTGGCAGGACTTGAGCGTGAGCCTTGGTTGTTGGGGTGTCTGCCTCACTGCTCTAATCTGCTACTTCATGGATGTAAACTGGCCTTGAAAATTAGTACTTAATTTCATTGACTGTATTTTAAACACAAATAGCCAGAAAATAGGTGTAGGTTAATAGGAGAAAAGAACTAAGTAGAGCTATACTTTGACTTACATAGTCAGACACAGGAAGAGAGAACAGGGGGAGGAGGAGGGAAGTAAAAGTATTGACGATTTGAAGAGGAGAGGAAACAACACTTTCTCTCTGAAGTCTTAAGATCATCCTTACCAGTGAAGGGAAGCAGGAGGTGCCACCCCACACATTTTTGAGAAAGCTATTTTGTGCAGTCCTGCTTGGAAAGAAAATTATAGAGAAGACTGTTTAGGTATTACAGGATAGGCCTGAAAAGTGATTCTCAAGGTATTAATTAAAATGTAATCACTACAGAAGTTAGTCTGAGAATTTCTCAACACTGTTCTCACAGAACACTGTTAAGCAGAGTCTTGGTTGACGGGACTCCTGTTGAGGGGCATGTTTAACTTCACTGCGCCCCTGCTCCTCCCGCTCGGAAGAGGCAGGGAGGCCTGCCCACTGAGGTTCCCGAAGCCTCCCTTTGCTTCGGCGGAGGTCAGTCACCCCCCTTCCAGCCTCTTGAGGGCTTTCTCCATGTGTTGCCAGTGCGTGCTGGTAAAAATGACTTTAAACTCTTGTCAGCACAGTTACTGGTGCATGCATCACAGTCCCACTCAGATAAACCTGTCACAACACAGAGGCGGCCGCTGGAGAAGAGTACAAGGGCAGGCCTCTAGCTTTTCATTCGAGCATCACTAAACGTGCGCAGAGTGCCCAATTATTTCAGCATTATTGAGCAAGCCTACAGGAGGACCCAAGCCTTGCTACATTAGATTTTCTTTAGTAATTTGCTCAAGTACCGCTGAGGACACTTAAAGGGCTTAAAACGGTGGCTGCAACCAGTTTCCTTTTCTGGGTTGTTAATTCAGGTTTTCTCTTTCAAATTAACTCTGGCCGCATGCTGTGCAGCGGTTCTGGGAGAACTGTTTAACACTAATTTTCTCAATTTTCAGCTTTTTTTTCTTCAGCATAACTGCTTTAACAGTTAGTCACATATATGTTTTGATTAGAGATGTATAATAGTGAGGCTCTGTGTTTTTGGAGACCAAAATACAGACGCTTTGTTGAGGAAATCTAATTTCAGCTATTAAAAGTAACCTAGATAATTTCACTATTTAAAAATTAGGTTATTTACAGTGCATTGCAAAACCAACAAATCCAAGTAAAAAAGATAGCGTTTCTCTGTTATTCATCTCCCTCCCTTAAAAAAAAATATTATATATATATATAAATGGGATGTATGACCCTTTGTATGTTTTTATAAAGGATAGATCTTTCCTTCATGGGTGCTGGGCTTTGCAGGGTCTTTTTGCACCACTTGCCTCTCCTTCTGTTGTTGAGGGGTGGCTGAGCTACAAGGAACAAGTTCAATATCTTTGTCTCGTTTCTCACAGCAGCAGCAACTCCAGGCCCAGCATCTATCACATGGACATGGTCTGCCAGTGCCTCTGACCCCACACCCTTCGGGGCTTCAGCCTCCTGCCATTCCGCCCATCGGCAGCAGTGCCGGCCTTCTGGCCCTCTCCAGTGCCCTGGGAGGCCAGTCCCACCTTCCAATTAAAGATGAGAAGAAGCACCATGACAGTGACCACCAAAGAGGTGAGTGATTTTCTGAGTGTCTGTCTGGTGTCACCTGCTGCTGCTGAGGGTTGGTCTGGTCGTCCTTCTTTGTCCTGTTTCTGGATTTCATTTTCCCTGTGACTAAACAGGATTTCCCTTGGAAGGCAAATTAATGATCGGAAGCAGTCTTTGCGCAGTGATCCCCTGTTGACTGGCAAGAGTTAGTACACTCCCCAAAGGCATAGGGGGATGCATTTCCTGGTTATTGCCTCTGATCCTTTGCTGCATCCCCAAGTCTAAACTGGTAATGAAGTGCCACAGTGCTCTGTGTTTGAAATTGTGAGTGGCATTTATTAGCTCATTTTGACCGAATCCATTTTGGGGGAGGTTTTACTGATAAAGGCTCACTTCATAATTTGACAGGCCTAATTATTATTTTTAAATCAGGTCAGTCTGTATAATGCAGTGAAAATCTTGCAGGTAAGAGAATCATTTAGGTAGTCATAGTAATTGAGAAGTTGGTTTAACTACCTCTCTCACCCAGTCTGTTTAGATGAAAGTAACTCATTTCTGTGTATGAGAACAACACAGTTGTTTATGTAAATGATTTTAAGTTGTGTTCTTTCTACTTTGGTTTCTTCCCTCCACTGAAATAGATGATAATGCAGACACATTGTGATCTAACTATATGTTTATAAGGTGCTTGTTAGCTTTTATTATTTAATGACAGAAAAGCAAATGAAAGTCTCTCCCAGCATTTCTTTGTGGGAATTTACTTAGTCCCACAATGGGTGGTTCCTGGTTGGAAGGGTGTGGTTACAATTAAAACCCCGTACCTCTTCTTGTTTCAGTGCCATTACCATGAATTATAATCTTGGGTAAATGATTTTTATCACATAAACATAAATTCCCCTTCTCTGATGTTAGAAACTCTGTACTGTTTGTCATACAGTTATCTTAGTGCTGTGGTCCAGAAGGGAGCGTGTCTGTAAACACTCAAGTGGAAAAGTCAATGAGGAGTATAAATAACAAGAATGTCCAGCTTTGGTTTCTCAAACGATGTCAGAGGTAGCTTGGTGCTCTGTGGATCTGGCCAAGTAGTAATGAACTTTAATTAATTAACTTTACAGAAAAGTTGACATCTGTGTCATTCATTATTTAGTAGAGACCAAATTTGACAAGTGTATGGTTTTATGTAAACTAACTGGTACTTTTCTTTTTTGCTTTCTTCCCCCCTCTTGACCTGCCCTTGCTGCTGCTGTTTTGCCTATAGACAGAGACTCCATCAAGGTATGTCTCAGAGTCACAAATGAAGGAGTGACTTACATCAGGCTCTAAAAAATTTGAATAGATTTAGTAGTGGATTCTTTGAGATTTACCAAGATAATTTGGTGGGCTTCACCGAATAGTGGTGAACTGCATTTTTAGATTCTTTCAGTTGTGCATTTGAGATTTTTGAAAAAATTGGTCCCATTTCTCTATCAGAATCAAGATTTATAAACCAAGATTGAATTATAAGATCTGGCTTGTGTTGCTCTTTTTATTATATCTTTGCCATGTGAAAAAGAATGACTGCTTTTCTTGAGTTAAGCTTTGGCTGTAAGATAGGTAAAGATGGGGAAAAAATTGGTTTGTAAGGAAATACACATTTTGGGAAACAGTTCCAGCCTGCAAAATTCTTTATTAAAACATTTAAGAGCATTTTTCTTCACCGGAAAGAATTGTTTTTTGTTTTGTTTCTTAGTTTAATGACATCTTGGTTTCCAGTATAGCAAGTTATTCTCCTTGGGTTTTGCATCTGTCTTATCTGCCTTCTCTTTATAGAGAAGTTATAGGGAAAGAGGAAAAGTATTCTAGGGCCTAATGATTTGGATGTGCTTGTGTAATACCGTAATGAGGTATGCTAAGGATACCTGAATTTATATAGTAAGCAAACAAGAAAAACAGGAGACTGTGGCAGGAAATGAGTAAAATATGAAACTGCTTGATAACTTTTGGATCATGCACCATGTAAATATGCTACTGTATTGTGGATAATTGTGTTATGCATGCCATTTATATTTTGTATAGATTAGAAAGCAAAGGAAGTTCTCAAGCACAGATGCTGTCAATTCGTTGTATTTTACAGTAGTTGAATGGTTTAGAGCATATGCAGTTACATCTCTTGGAGCTTTTAATGAAGTTACACATACAGAAACTAAAATCTTCCCTTGAAACCACCTGTGCTGTCCCTCTGAATGCTGCTTTATTCCTTATTTTTTTTAATAATAAAGAGGAAGTAGAGTTTTTCCCCGAAGCCATTAAATGATAGAAAATAAAATATATCTATTTTACCCTTAAAGAATCTTTGTAATTTGGAAGGCTATCTGCATACCCATAGAAATGTCAACACTGACAAATAGGAACTGCACACTTAGAATTATTTGATTTTGCATTTACAGTTGTGTACTTTGTTGTGTAGTATGAGCATCAATACGTAAACTCAAAAGCTTTCTTAATCAGAGTGTAGTAAGTTCTCCGCACATACGTACTTAGGAAGTAGTAAGTAAATGGCATTGACCAGGATTTTCTTGTAGCAGCCCTTGGAAAGCCTGCCTAGTTATTCTGAGGCCAGTGAGATAACCATTCCCTGCCTTCATATGATAAATACATATCTTCAGGCAGGCCAGTGAGCTAAACAGAAGCCTCCTCTCATACCCCACTCCCAGAAGGCTGAAAATATTTATACTCCAGCGCACACTTTTGTGTCAGTTTCATTTTATAGTTCCTCACGCCAGAGTAGGGTGTATTTTGAAATCATATATAATCATTCAAGATGAGTCTGGGAGTAAGTATCTATGTAGCTTGGAAACCAGGGGAAAAGCAAAAGGAAATAGAGGCGGATGATTTTGCCTTGATTTATTGTGGCATGGTAGCTATAAATAGATGTTTTTGTTGGGTACCATTTTTGAATTGAAGTTTCACTGTGTCAGGTTTGGGGCTGTCCTGTGGCTTTGCTAGGTGAAATAGTTCACTAATTTTTATAAATGTGTTCTGTGACACTCAGAAAAGCAGTTAGTTGCTTGTTCCATCGATCGTCTTCATCCTCCCATAAGTGGTTCCTGGTTAAGAGGGGCTTTTTATTATTGTCTGCTGTGTGACTGGAGATGGTTTTTATCAGCCGGAGCATGCCAGTTGCCTGCAGCTGGAGTCAGGCTTGTATGAAATAATTTATTCATGCAGGATAATGCTCCTTAACATTTAACAGGTAATGAACGTGACATAAATTTCCTTCTTGCTTTTAATTTTTCCCTTTCCTCTTCTAATGTGCAAACAGGCTGCTCTGGTACTCTAAATAATAAGTAATTTTTGGCCATCTGTCAAAAGGAAATTTCAATACAAATTTAAACTAATGGTGCCTGAAATTTTTTATAGCTCTCTAAAAGCCTCTAATGTGCAGAAAATTCTGAATCTGCTGGTAGTAATTAGTGTTGCATGTAATGAGGATGTGGGCAATGTTATACAGTCCCAGTGTAACATTTTGATATGGTAGCAAAATTTTGATTTATATGAGGTTGTGGATGGGTTTAATTGTGAGAGACAACTTTAAAATGTTTTCTTGATGTTACAGATTATTAAACAGGACAGATTTCAGAATAGCTTATGAAATATAAATTTAAACTTACTGTAAAGATTAAGGTAATTAAGGTGCTTTACCTTTAGGTGGCAAGTAAAAATGAAAGAAATTCCCTTGTTAAAGTGTTGGGCTTTTTCTCTTCCTTTTCTCCTCTTGAAGGTTCTGTGGCTACTAAACCAAGTGCTGTTGGCTTTATTGATCTTGTTTTCTATAGCTCCAGTAGCCAAGTTCATTCATAAGCCTGTTATTTGCAGACTTGTACCTGACGTTTTTCAACAAGGATGGAGAATGTAAATATGAACCTGAAAGAGAAAGCACTGTAGGAGCCCAAGGATCATTTTATTTGGTGAGGAGAAACCAGAATGGTGTGTGTTCTGGGGCTTTTATAAGAAGGATCCAAGGCACCTGCTTGTCACTTGGCCATCCAGTACCCACGTTCATGTGCCCATTGTAAGCCCTGGATTTAGAGGCTGAAAATGGCAGGAAATAAGACCATAGTCCACTCACACTCTTAGTTGGAAGGGTAGAAAGCACGAAAGAGGTTCCTACTTCTCCTTCCTCAGTGAGAACTTTTTCAGCCTCTTCTGGAGTTTCTCTTGAAAAGATCCATGTGAAACCAATGAAATATTTTCTGAGGTGATAAAACCTTCCTCTGCCCCTCCCTCCTGTATGCTGAAGGGTAGAAGTTAGTGTCGCCAGAGTGGTGACAGAGCAGACATTCCCATATGCTTCCAGGAGCTTCCCAGTTGCTGGAGGTCCCAGTTCATGAGGAGATAATCTTTAGGTTCTCACATCACTCTGTTTCCACCTCATTGACTGATGTGTGAGGGTGAGGATTCAGAATTGTGAAGGCCAGATTGCCTAAAACTTAGAAGGAATCTGAAATTGAGAAATTCATTTTATTACACCCCAAATGTCTATACCTCCTAGCAACAAATAGCCACCAAAATCAAGACCAACTTGGCAGAATTCACTATCACCAACTATTGATTAGCTCCATGGCCTCTCCCAAGTTGGTATTATTGTGCTAACCTTATTACTTCCTAAGTCCTTCTTAAGTATATTATGTATTCTTGTTTTTTTCCCCAGCATTCAGTAACCTCCTCAAGTCAAGCCCGTGATGAATTTGCAGTTTTTTATTTGTAAAATATAGCATAATTACATTGTTTTCCTCTTAAGTGGTGGTGTTTTTACTTTTATTATTTCATTGGATTGTCTTTCCCAAAGTACCATATGCATCATCAGAATATGATCGTTTTTAGTGATTTCGTACATTGCCAAATGAACCTCCAGAAGCGCTGCAACATTTAAAAATGCCAGATGCAATATTTGTATGTTTTCACACAATCCGCCAATCCTGAACTTAATAGCTTTTGTAATTTTTGTTGGTGTAGTAAGTATGAATAGTGCACTTCAAAAAAATTTTTTACATAAAGATATTTTTCAAGTGAAATGTTTTTCTTTGGGTCTCTTTGCTGTGTTACCCGGTCCTGAATGGATTTCTTGTTTTTGTTTAAGGGTCTTCATAATGATCTGCATATTAGTTGTATCTGTGGCAATGCCTTTTCTTCCTGTCTTCGCTAGATTTTGGTATTTATTCTGTGTAGATGACTCCAGCGTCACACTTTTCTTTTTTCTTTTTTTTTTTCCTTGTCTCTGGTTATTCTCTGTTGCCAGTAAAGGTTTATCAATGGAGAATTAGACGAAGGCTGTTTTGTTCAAATTGAAGTGTATGATTCAGGCCAAGAAAGCCCTTTAGCCTCATTAGTTGAGTGTTACAGGTGAAAGTGGGTTTTTAGCTTGAGTTAACAGAATGGTTACTTCTGTTGGCTGGTTCACTTTATGCATCAAAATTTAATGGTGAAAGGTTCTGTTCCAGGGTCTTGTGTGACCTGTGTGACTTGGTTTTTGTTCCCTTCTGCCTCTTTTTACTGTTGCAAAGAAATATCCATCAGAAAAGAGTGTGCCTTTAATATGTTTAACCCCTTGGCGTGTCCTTTGTGGGAGAAAACAGAGAAGCAGCCACTTGAGGAGGAAGGGTGGGCCAGTAGGAGAGGTAATAACCATTTAACCCAGGCAGTTGGGGTTTTAACACTCACTTCCCTTCCCCATGCACCTGTGTAATCTTACCCTTCCTGAGAAAGCTTGGTGGAATTAATTGCTTATAGCCTTTAGAAGGACACATTGTAAAAAGACAAAGGCATAAAGTTGAAATCCATAAAATACTATAAAGAGGATATAATTAAAAAACAAACATCACCAACAAACTAAACTGTAGCAGGGCTTGCATTATCTCCTGCTGTCCCCTTAGACATCAGTAATCTGAGAGTGTGGCATTAAGGGTTGTAATTTGGACTCTGTCCACTCTAACCTATTGAAAGATTATGTGAAACCCTAGTTATGCAGTCAACCCCACTGATCTCTGAGCATGCATAGCTCATAGTTCAGATTTCATTGTGAAGGTAGTTGGTGAGGAAAGTTTTGTTTATTTATTATTTTGTATATTATTAAAGGTTTAGAGGTGTTGAGACCTTGCCCAAGGTTACATAGCCAAAGCTGTCCTCAAAGGAGGCAGTTCCAGCATGCATTTTACCCTTGTGTACTTCAGTACTTAAAATGAACACTTTCTCTAAACAATAGACATTTTTTTTGGTAACCATAATGCCCTCAATCA